GATGGAATATTAATGATTTACTAATTAGATTTAAGTTTAACAGAAATTCATACGAAGAAAAAAAGAATGCCAACAGAATATTTAATCCTCTTTTAAATCAAACTATACAGTAGTCTCAAAATGTTGCACTATCAGGCAGAAAATATATCAACTTTAATTCTTTACCATCATAATTTAAGCACAGATAGAATATGTTGAACTGTGATCGCAAAGGCTATTCAGACCTTCAGTGGTGTTCATAAGGAGAATCTAGAAGGTCAACACAGATTTTTTCTTTAAACAACGATGCCTCAACATGAATAAAAGAACTCATGACGCCAAATTCCTCGTTCGACATCTCAGTACTACCTCTATTACCAAGAAAAACTCCATGTTAAACAGTTTTAGTTTGCCTGATTTATGAAGTATTCTTTGAGTAATTCCTGCATGAGAGTTGGTATCTGCGGTCAGTTTTAACAGTTTATCTTGAATTTTTTTCAACAAGTGTTCTGTTCTAACCAAGTTTCTCCTCAAAACTAGGATCGCAGTCATCGATGCAGAGCAGATCGATACTGAGACCATTCCACATTATTGAGACTTCTCGATACTTACAGATTAAAGCCGAGTGAAGTACTCCATCTGTGAGACAATACTAATATTCGAATCTTGATTTGTTAATAAGAAAATGGAGGTTAAAAGATTTCAATAGTGAGAAGTTAGAACAGTGCCGAAAAAAAAACCATTTTTGGGATTCTAGGTAAAAAATCAGCGTGTTCATCATAAATTCTTTGCATTAAGTCCTGTCAATCTGGAGTTGCTGCTTGTAAACAGAGGTTACCGAGCTCAATTTTTAATCAAAATCTTAAGCAAAAGGGTTAAAGTTTATGTACTTTTTATTCGGTAGCAGGACTTCTCGCGACCATTGTACATGCATTTAATGTATTGAAAAATAATCCTACTCTTAATGATAAATGTTTCATTTGATTGTCTCATCGTCAAACAAAATTCTATAGTTGCACTTATATAATAAAGATATTTCGATGTTGTTCGAAATGAAATTTTCCATATCCTACTATATTAAAAAATGCCACGGTCTATCAATATTTTTTCTTCAATCTTATTATACAATGATCAATTTTATAGTAGGGTAGTCAATGTACTTGACTACGAAGAGATAGACTAAACCTATACAATCAGATGCAGCATTCTGAACACTTTTGAAATTAACGAAATCTGTTCCATATGAGAGAGTATTCGTAAAAAAGAGAATCAAACAAATTTTAATCAAAATATCACTTTCTATCTCCTTCTGATGTGAGTGCTTTCTATTCTCACATTAAATCTTTTGTGACTTGTAGTACTTTAAATTTGTTAACTAGATACATTTCAAATATCACTTTCAGATTTTACCTCGTCAGTTTTAAACCTTATCATTGATGCATTGACTGACATCATGATTCATTCTAATTCAAATTAGTTTCACAATCACTAATATATTCGATTCTTTTTCTTATAAAAATATTTGCTTTAGTACTTATGCATACTTGAAATTAATGTGTTCACTCACGATGACAGACCAAGTTATTTATCTTTGATAAAGTTCATTTTTTTGCTCTAAGTCAAGAACATTGTGAGATACCATATTTGATAGATAAAGTTCGAAAAGCTGTTGAAAAAGAAGGATATTTGTTCACTCATTCTTTTTTTTTCTATCTGTTTTTTCACTTACATTAAGAATGAAATCATGGGACCTATTTATTTCAATAGCACTTTTTATTGATAATCATATTGACAAGGTCAATACATACAGAGGAGACCAAAAGAAAATAAGTTCACATTGAGAATCAAGTAGCGTTCATTACGACAGATTTTACTGTATACCCATAGAAAAACATGAAATGCAAATAAACAATAGAATGTATGTGTACAATATCTGTATTCCATATTGAAAATTGTAATGACTCTTTCGACATTCTCCTAAAATTTACATTTCATTTTAGACAAGACAAACATTGAGTGATTTTGGTATGACAATAGCGCTTATTTGTATGGTGCTTTTCGATATGTTAGTTACAAAGAGTGCTGGTGGTCATAGTCTTACACAAGTAATAACAAAAAATAAACATGATTTGAAAATAAAGTTGTTTCTTTTTTTACATATGTATACATTTGTTTGATTTTATGTAGAAAATAACTGTGCCCGATTCAATTCGACCTAGTGATTTAGAACGTGGTAATATTTGGTTTATATCTCCATTACGAAAAAGATTACAATTTTGGGTTTATTTTGCATCATCATTTCCTGCTATTTTAATCTCTGTAGTACTTTTTTTCGAAGTTGAACTAACTAGGTAATAAGAAACCGAAGAGAATTACAAACCAAAAATTATATTCTTTTTCTTCTTTTTTGTTTATTAGTATTATGATTCAATCAAAACTTAAATCTGTTCATTCAACAAAAGTTATCAAAGGAACTGGTTATCATTTAGATATAATGATAGCTGGTATATTGATTTGTTTGAAATTATATTTATCTTATTTCTTTTTTCATTTGAGGTATTTTAATATCGATTAGTGGATTATTTGGTCTTCCTTGGATATGTGCAGCACCTGTAAGAAGTATTGCTCATGTAGCTAGTTTATCTAAATATAGTAATACTCATGCACCTGGAGAAAAAGCTCGTTTAATTGATATAAAAGATCAACGTTTAACAAATATAGGTGTACATTTATTTATTGGTTGTACAATATTTGCAGCTACAATAATTCGTAAAATTCCAGTTGCTGCTTTATTTGGTATATTTTTATATTTTGGTATTGTATCTATATCTGGTACACAATTATTTAGTCGAATTAAAATGACATTTATTCCAACAAAATATCATCCAAATTTTGGCTATTTAAGACGAGTATGTATAAAAATCTTATCGTATAAACAAAGAGGAAACAGCAGATATTTCAGTTGTTAAATTCAATGTAGTCTGTCAAACTGAGGAATCCAAGAGCAATTAAAACTATTCAGTTTTACTTTTATTCTCTCTAAACTACTATCATTCATATTTTTCATCCTTTAGTTAGCTAAGCTTTTTTTACTTCGTTTTATTCCTTTTATGGTGTAAGTGTAGGTAGTTGAGAGCGAATAGAACAAGCACATTCAAATTGTGCGTGGGTGTGAGCGTGTAGGCTATGGATAAGGATATTGAATGTGGGTGAAGACAAAGCTGACACCTACATCGACATACATACGCATAGCCACAACCTACATTTTGACAACTTGACTTTTGATATTTATTTTATTAAAGACTTTAATATCTTGACTTGTCTATACTTCGTAATTCTTACCTTTAGACATTTTTACATTGTTCATGTTTACATTTGACAATTTTATTTTGACATTAGTAGAGTAAATCCTTTCGAAGACTGCTCATATCCTTTAAAGGCTTTCGAAATTATTTGAAAATTTGGAATCAATTTACTTGAAGACTCATGAAGCTTAATGAAGACTGATTTTTTTTCCTCGATCTAAGTGATAAATGAAATATTTACTTTCTTTAAGGTTCGTCAAATGAAACGCCATATATATACATTTATACAAGTGATTGCTGCAGGCTTATTAATTACGATTAAAATGACAAATTTCGCTTTTCTTTTTCCACTTATACTTATCTTACTTGTACCATTTCGAAAAATGTGTCTTCCATTTATTTTTACAGAACGAGAACTTACTGAGGTGAATTTTATTAATAATTATGTTTATAAAAAAAGAAAAACGTTTGTTGTATTTATTTTAGCTTGATGGTGATGAAGCAATGAGTAGTACCTTTGATGATGAAATTGACTTTTATGGTCAAGTTCATTTACCAATATGATGATGCAAATAATATTATGTTGATTGGTTTTTTTGTCCCCGGTGGTTTGCTGTTATGTTTATTTTTTCTTTAAAACAAAAACTCATTACAGGAAAATTATAGCAAAGAACAAAACGATGTATTGGTAATATAAGAGAAGAAATGTTTTATTAACATATCTTTTATTTTTACTGTTCTTTTGTACATTTGTTGAATCATTTTTTTAAAAATTACCATTGTGAATGTAACTGTAATTAGGCTGTATGTTCGCGGTGTTCATCTTTGTGAACAGTACAATAAAGAAGCTCAGACACAATCGCTGGATATTTTTCAGAGAAGGGTTTCCACAATTCACTTATATCCATAACTTCCTTAGCATGATCAATAAAATAATCAATACATCTTTGTTTAAGTAATATATTATCGTATAGAAATGCAGCTTCTGTTAATCTCAAGACATTATTGGTATCGATATGATTTACAAGAACTTAATGGAGATGAAAAATCATGTGACTATAATAACTTAAATTTCATAGAAAAATAAAACTTACACCGAGCAGTGTATACTTTTAAACTTTTAATATCATATCGACCAGCAGCATCAAGAAGGTAAAATGCTACAATTAAAATATCATTTTTATATATCATTATATTATAATGATAAAAAAAAAAACAAAATAAAAGAATTTTTACCATTGCGTTCATTTAATTCACAATTAGCTGTATACATAAATATAATAACTTGTTTCATTATTTCAGGACTAGTTCTAGTAATAGATATTACTAATTTATTATTCTTCGTAGATGTTTCAAGTTCATTTTTAGTCTTAAGATCAAGTCGACTGTAATTGCCCGACATAACAGCTGTCAGAAAAAAATACTCATATTTAATATTATTAAAATATTTATTATTGTTTGATTGTCATTTACCAGAAAAAGTATTTGAACGTGCAGCGAGAACACATCGATGAACAGCCATATAAGTATCTGTTAGAAGAAGAAATTCAATTCATAGAATATCTAATGAATAAAGGAGGTACATCAAATATGATTTACCATTAACATTGAGCCAACAGTCACTAATATCTGTTCTATTCAGTAAGTCAGCGAAATCCTTCGATAGATGTTTAAGTAATTCGAGATCGGAACTAGCATCATTTGTCTGTTTATAATCAGCAGTTGTATACCAGTGATCGTGTTGCTTGTAAGTTGAGGCCGGTCTTGAGCGGTTCCTTGACAAAGATTTTTCTGAAGTGTGCGTTTCTCCTCGTCGTCCTTTTGACTGTTCTTGTGAATCATACTCATCAGTACTGTTGCGAAGTCGTGTGAAGTTTGCATCCATGTTTATTATCAAAGTAACCTGACTGTAAAAAAAACCAAAAACGTAGCCTTTTATAGTCTAACAGTCTTGTGTTATATCATTATGGTAACTATCAGTAGAATAACAACACGCGCAGTCAAGGACTCATACAAAAAAAAACGTGTTTGCTAGATAATATTTACTCTTTAATTCCTCTCAAAATTGTAAATAGATAAACGAGTTTTTCGAGCATAAGAGATTTGTTAAGTATCAAAATGAAAAAGGTTCAGCCAGCAACTATTTCTTTCTCATTACGTTACAATAGAAATTAAACTGAAAATCAGTCGTTTTTAGTTTATTAAATACTAACAAGATATGAATATGTGTAAATATGACTATAGACAGTTCTTATCTTTGTTGATAATAATCTTTTCGTCAAACAATTCAAGTATCACAGTATTAGTTGCGAAATATAAAAATATTGATGGTTTTTTTTTTAATAGAATATCAGAGAACATAGTCATTTTTACATCATACATATATTTCTATGCATTTCGTATAGTTTTAGGTCAATGTAAGGTTCTTCATTCAAACACATATCCACACCCTATACTGGTATGAAAAAAAGCGAGACTTCAGTACTATGCACTACGATGAGATACAAATGAAATACTATGAAGTATTAGTGGAATACTGTCTTGCACTCATACTTCACTGTATTTCATTTGTCTTTCAGGTGTGCTTCATTTGTACTTTGTATTTCACGCGTACTTTAGAGTACTGAATTCCTGCTTTTTTCTTCTTGTCCTATCTACATATCATGGGTAGTAAACATTGTCTTGTGTATCAAATACATCCGAATAGAAAAAAAAAACAAAGTAAAAATGAAATTTAACTGGCTTGTTAATCAATTTTCATAATTGTAAGATATTTAAGAAGATGTTAATTTCTGACTCCATAACACTTGATCTATTGACAAATTATAAAGAATGTTTTTTGATTAAATATACGAACGAAGTATCCGTAAAGCGAACGATAAATTCGTCGAACAGAAGAAAATACACTCATATTGGACACTTCAATTTATTTGAGTCTACGACTGAAATGACGAAAAAGGCTATAATGTGCTGTATCTTTTTAGATTTTTTTCTATTTCTATATCTTTGCACACTCGTCAGAGTTTATTACGATTGATTATGAATTGTATCTGCCAAGATTAACAGCTAACAATAAAGGATGGTGACGTATAAGAATGTGTGTTGGCTCCTTTTGGTTTTCATCACTAAAACCATTGGATGTAGGTATAGAGAAAACGATTACTCACATCCGCAATGAAATATTACAATAGCTTTTGACTATATGAATAGAAGAGACGATGAATTCAAAGACGAACTTATACTTATTTTCCTTAAGACTTTTTCCTTTGTGGATTGAATGAGTGCTAGTTTACCAAGGAAAGTGCTAGATGAATAAAACTTTTAGGAAAGCTAACGGATATAGAGTAGTGCTGCTTGCGGAAAATATGAGGTTCTCAATCGCTTCTGAACATATATATGACTTCTTTCATTTTTGGTAGTTTCGACTAAGAAACAGAATAATTTGTCTCTTTTTGTGAAACACTATCTAAAAGATGTGTTGAACTTAAGAAGTAGATGTTTCGACCCAGCTCAACCTCCTCTGGACGTAACGAGTTCAGTATTCCCTAGCATTTTCTGCTCGATTTTAATAATTTTTCGTATATAAACAATCAAAATACTAATCGCTTTTTTAATATCTATTTATTTTTATTTTTTCCAACCGATTTGTGATCTTTTCTATTCAGTAAGGTTGAATTTCCCATCACAATTTGTTAGAGTTTTGTCTATATTTGATTTAACTATAACTGATGAGATATTGTCCTTCTGAATATAAAAATTCAGCAGTTTTCATCAATCCTACAAAAACTTCTGAAATACCATTCAAAATCCATGCTGCATTTTTGTATATGTTTTATTATCAATACTAACAAGAACCCGTGTATACTGCACGGCGGTTTTTTCTTCTTTAGCTCACTATTGCAAACCTTTAATCTTTCACTGGGTAACAGACACACAGACACTTGACATTATGTACATAGAAGCCCTACGGCGTGATATGGTTATATCGCTAATAGCCTCTGTAACCTTACGGCCTTATAGTCTTATATTTCTTGTAACCTTACTCCCTTAAAATGGTTCCTCCCTTTTAGTGTTCCGTGTTATAGCCTTACTCCCTTACAGCCTTCCCATTTTATTGCATTACTCCTTTATAGCTGTATCCTCTTATTGCTTTACCATGTTATAGCTTTACCCCTTTATAATCTTCCTCATTGTAGTCATCTTGATCTTTAATCTTTGACCTGGTAATAGACAGACAACCGTGCTTTGTTTTAGAGGTATGGATGTCGCTCAACTGCATGTTATGCACCAAGCCGATTGATGTGATATTTCTACCGATGATAGAACTAATTAAGTTCCACCGCCTAGAATATCCCACGATTTTTTTATCTTTCAGAAAAGTAAACATTTTTAAGTAAAAGTCATATTTTCCCATCATTAATAAGATTTGTTGGAAGATATTAGTCTATTTTCATAGATTATACTTTATCAACTGGTTAATAATTTCTTATGTAATTACCTTTCTGTTGTGGGTGGTATGCTGATATAAGACTACTAAAAAAGAATAAGAAAAACGTATTGTTTTGCTAGAACGATTTTTTCAACCCTTTGTATAGACTATTGATTGGTCATTGTATGACTTTAGGATCAAGACTGTAAATGACTGTAAACAGTAAAACAAAAATTAATGTCTGTCCACGAATGATTTAAATCAACAAGATGCCTTACTATTCGATGCAAAACTATTGAGAAGAAACGAGATATTCTAAAGAATCAAGATGTATTCCATGAAACTCTAGAAGACTTCATGAGGCTTCAAAAGATTCTACATGACTCCAAGAAATTCTGGTGAACTTCATAAGAGTGGGGTTCTAATGAGTCTGCTACTCACCTCTCGAGTATATTTCATTAAAAAATATGTTTATAAAAAAGAAAAGCGTTTGTTACATTTATTTAAACTTGATGATGATGAAGAACTGGATAGTAACTTTATGATCAAGTTCATTTACCAATATGATGATGCAAATAATATAATGTTGATTGGTTTTTTTTCTCCGATGGTTTGCTGTTATGTTTATTTTTTCTTTAAGACAAAAACTCATTACAAGAAAATTATAGCGAAGAACAAAATGATGTATTGGTAATATAAGAGAAAACATGTTTCATTAACATATCTTTTATTTTTACTGTTCTTTTGTATATTTGTTAAATTATTTTTTTTCAAAAATTACCATTGTGATTGTAACTGCGATCGTTCTACTCGTTCGCGGTTCTCATCTTTGTGAACAGTCCAATAGAGAAGCTCAGAAACAATCGCTGGATATTTTTCAGCGAAGGGTTTCCACAATTCACTTACATCCATAACTTCCCTACCATGATCAATAAAATAATCAATACAACTTTGTTTAAGTAATATATTATTGTATATATATGCGGATTCTATTAATCTTAATATATTATGTCTATTGATATGATTTATAAGAACTTAATAAAGATAAAAGAAGCATGTGATAAATTAAGTGTCATAGAAAAATAAAACTTACATTGAGCAGTATATACTTTTAAACTTTTAATATCATATCGAC